TAAAGATTAATAAACTTAATCTTCTAACATTGTTTATTACATTATCAATAGCTCAAAGTTCATAAACTCATCTCTATAACATATTTATTAACATAAATAATTATGATCTATTACTAACTAACAAACCTTTACACAAAACATTTTATTTTATTTACAGATTACAAAATGTTAAAAAATTATCTAGAAAGATCCAGATATCAGTAAATAAGGAACTTACTTATATTTTTTCAATAGAATAGAATTTCAAAACTGTAAAGCTGCATATCTATATAGTGTTTATTAAACAACTTTAAGTATATCAGAAATGATTAATTCAAATACTATTCAATCTACTCTTCTGAATTCTAGTTTAGAACCTGAACTTTATTAAAAAGTTTATATCTTCCAAAGATATACTTGTAATTCTAAATGTAAAGAACTAGCCTTACTAGAATTAAGATATAAAAAAGGATTTCTCTGACCAATTTCTGATTATACATTCTACAATTTAAACAATTATAGATATACTTGCTAATGTATAATGCCAGAAGACTAATGGATAGTTCTATATCATACTTTTATATTAATAATATGAAATACTCATATGAATGCTTAATATGTTATAAATAAAGAACTTGTATGATATATAATAAAATATATAAATAAGTTAGAACCAACTTACTTATTTAATATCCTGAACAAATGCATTATTGAGAATATGTTTATATCTGATAAATAGGCACAATAGAACTAATATTCTTGCTACTTAGTAAACATATCACAAACTCATTAATACAAGAATAATACCTTATAACAGATCCTTCAAATATCTGATTCAAATCAATTTTTCTATTACACATGATTAATTCTCTTAATAATATTCTTTACTGAACTGATAAAATAAAAAAATACTTTGCATAATCACAATATTCTATATTTAATAATATGCTGTATAGAACTTATTTTGAATTATATAATATTAAATCAACTCGATCAAATACTAACAAAACAATATATTAAGACAATTTTAGAAATTTTATTATTGAACATACTAACTATATACTTACTTGTGTATGTTTCTGCAACTAAAACATGATAAATTATTTTTTTATTAACAATTTCTACTAAAATTTCTATTTAGATTTGAAGAAGAAATAACTAACTATTTTATAGTTTGATTTTCTAACTTATTTCAATTAATTCAAAATCTAAATCATGAGTATACACTAAGACAAACTATTCATATTTTAGATTATTTTAATTCTCTTATCAAAGTAATAACTTTATCATTATACTTAATATTAACAACGGATATCATTGATATAATTAAAATATAATTAAATTCTATAAAAATACTACTATAAGTTATAACTACTAACTCAATAATCAACTTACTACTAAATCAATATTACTGCCTACAAATGATAACTAATTATCTAGAACTACGAGATGGATTGCATTATCCTTTTTTTTATTACAAGATTAGCAGAAACTAGTAAATCCTATATGATATATTTACTAGTTAAATATTTTCAAAAATCTCATTGTAACTACTTATTATTAGCACCTATTAGTGTAGCTATCCAAAATATTAATAGTTTGACAATACATTCTATATTAAGAATTATCTCTAATAAATAGAAAATTCATACCCTTGCATTTTATTATCAAGAATTTAATAATTCTCTTCTCCAAATTGACATACTTATTATTGAAGAAGCTTCTATGGTATCAGGTCAACTTCTGACTTATATTTTCAAACTATTCAAATCACTTCACAAGAATAATCATCCATTTGGAAAATTAATATTATTCTGGTCAGTGATCTAGCTTAATTACCTCTGGTTTCTGGCTCTTCTATCTATCAATCCTAATATAGAATATTTTTTATTCTCTATTTCTTCATAAACCTCAAAGGCAAAATCAAGACACATAATTTTATGATCTTCTACAAAAAGTAAGATTAGATAAAATTGATAATACAATGTGGTATATTCTAGCTCAAAAAAAAAAAGAAACTATCTGGTCATCCAAACTAGAAACTACACTTAACACTACTCATATAGTGAGTTATAGAGAAAATACCAATTCAATTAACAGAATTATATTAATGATGCTCCCTACTCAAAAAAATAAATTTATGATTTTTCACTCTATTGATACTATTAATAGTCAAATATGTAATGATAATCTGAGACTCCATGAATTTAAAAACAAAACCAACTTACTAGAAACAATTAGAATTCAACCTAGTGCAAGAGTCATGTTTCTCAATAACTCCCAACACCAACATTGAATAGCAAATGGTGCTATAGATATTGTAACAGATCTAGATTCAGACTTGAATCTTGTTTATGTCAACTTTTGTGTTGAAGGAGCTATTGTAAATATTTCCTTTTCTAGATTCACTAGCAATTTCTATATAAATAATACACCTGCTAGCTGTATCCAATTCCTGATACAAAATGCATTCGCTTTAACAGTCTACAAGACACAAGGACTCATGCTTTCTGATGTATCTTTAAATTTAGATGATCAAATCTTTGCTCCTGGTCAAGTGTATGTAGCACTAAGTCATTGTACTAAGTGGGACCATGTAAAAATACAATCATTAAACTGTAGCGTATTTATAACAGACTTATTAATGATCGATGAATATGAATGACTAGAAATAAAAGCCTATAACCCATTACTGTTAAACATATAGTCCTAATAAGCTCGTTTTAAAAAGTTTAGTAATAATAAAAAATAATACTTTATTATCTATAGTAATCTATAAACATAAAATAATACTTATAAATATTATTATAAAAACAAACTATATATCTCTCTTAATATCAAAAATCATTTAAAATAAAATCCTTAATTCTATTAAAATCCATTCTGTAAAAAAAAAAAATAAAAAATAAATCAATCTCTATAATTCTAAATAAATTTTCGGTATTGATTTTAATTCGAATCGATTATACTCATGCCATAAAATGCTTTACTATTATTAAAAAAAATATTATCACCTAATTTATTTCAATCTAACTCATAGTTATTTCAATACTACAAGATTTTAAATATATATAACTTTTTTTTTTGTTTTACAACACCATGTTACAACAAGAAATGATAAGAAACCTTTTAAAATAATTTTTATATTTTTTAATTTGTTTTTATATAATATTTTAAAACATCAGTAATTATGGCGCTGATACCTAAAAGTGGAATTACTATGTCTAATTGCTTAATTCCAACTTCGATATCAGCTACATTTTTCAAAATTTCGATATTCAAACTATATGTTAAATAATGATACGTATTTAAAATTTTATTATTACAATGATATTATAAGTATACGTGATTGGGTAAAAATTTTCGAATAACAGTAATTTGACAAATGAACATGTACCACAAAACGACACGTGTAGCCAATCATTTGTCAAGTTACCGTACTCAAAAATTTGCCCAATAATGGTGTTATCCGGCAATTTATGATCATGATTGGTAGAGAGTTGTCTGCTGTTGAATAAACACGATTACGTCATAAAACATGATGAAAATAACAGAAAGAAATAAATTTATAATCATATGAGTTTGCAAATAATATTAATTACACGTAATAATGACGTATTAATAACAATCGTATAATTGGTTTAAAACGAACAAAAAAATCATTTTAAAGCGATTTAAAACTAATTTAAACCATTATATTTTAAACCACTTACTATCCCTCGCTACAACAACTCTGACTGGGCGGCGAAGCCGCCCACATCGGCATCTTCTAGTTTTTATTGACCAATAAACTTGGCCCATACTCTCCGCGCAATAAAGTGTTCGCTCAGAATTCTCTCCCTAATCCAAGCCCCAAGTTATTAATATTAACCAATTAATTAACTTTGAAAACTCAAATTAAAATCTCTGGACTAAACTTTGACAGCATTTGACTGGGAGATGATTTGTCAGAATAGATTTTTTTATTGTAGTTCATTTTATTTTTTTCATTTCAATTTCTCCCTGAAGTCATAAAAAGGGACGTTAACCAAATATTTAATTGCAAGCGATCTAATATACTATTTCTTATAATTGGTTAACAAGCAATAATAAAATTTTCAGTTTTTTTTTGCTTAAATCTCTATGTTATATTCATTTTCAATATTTGAAGCTATTTTCAAATTTCATCAATTAATAATCTTCAATGATCGAAAAAAAACTTAGCTAATCACAATTTTTATAATGGAATTTGTTCACTATCTACTTTAAATTTATAGAATACCAATAATCACATAAAGTTGGAAAATTTACAGGTTCATAGATATTCTAAGAAAAATTTATTGTCGCAAAACTAAATAAATTCGATGAACATGTTTTTATTTGAATTCTCGAGTTGTCGGTTATCTTACAAAGTTTTTAAACATCCATAAAAATTACTCAAAGTTTTAATTGAAGTTATTTCAATAAATTCTTAGCCGAATTTTATAAAAACTTTTTACGTACGTATGAACTAAAAAAAAATTTCGTTCGGTTGTCGTACAAAAAAATAGTATAAGTACCGTGTAATCTTTATTATTTATTTATATATTATATATATATATCGGGCCTGAAGTTAGCACCTGCCTAGAGATGGGCACTATACGCATGATGCTCATACATGCATGCAATCATGCATGCGCATGGTGTGTGTATAGTGTTTTAAATTCGGAGAATTCGGAGTTTCATTAGCTTTAAAACCAAGTAAAGTCACTTTAAATATTATTGTAAGCGAGGGGTGCCTATAAGTTTTTAATACTTGCAGGGATATTATAATAAAAAAAAACATTTACAGTATTAGTTAATTAAAAGGATTAACAATTAAGAATAACAAAAGTATAATAAAATAAAGTTTTTAAACTTTAACTTGACGCAAGCATAATGAGTCATTATATAAATAAGTTAAATAAATATATTAAATTATTATAAATTAAAAAAAAAAATTCATAAATTTTCTTTTATTTTCTTTATGCAAGACCAGAATAGTTGTTTAATCAATATTCGCAATGACAATACCAGATCCTATATGGATTTTATTTAGTAAATTGGGATATGTACCAGGATTTAAACAAAAAAGAAGCAAATGTGATAAGTGTGAACAGCAAATTAATGAATCATTAAGAGCTGCCCAGATACATGTTAGATGATGCACTAAGATATCTGCAAAGCAAAAAAAAAAATATCTTGGATGAAACATTTATAAGCACATCATCTTCTATATCAGAGTCAGTATCAAATTCATCCCTACCTTCAGCATTAAAGCTTTATAAAGTTAATCATATTACAAAAGCAGAACAAAAGTTACTTGAATTAGTTTTTGCAAGATCAGTATTTTATTGTAGCCTATTTTTGTCATTACTGGAAATGGAGACTATTAAACTTTTGTGGAAACAAGCAAGATCAGCATTCAAGCTACCTAGTCGAAAAAAACTTTCGACAAAATTATTGGACTTTGTATTTAATGAGACAAAAAATAAAGTTGAAACATTGATTAATCAATATACAAATATGTGTCTTATTTCTGATGGATAGTCTAACTTGGTGCAAGAACATTGGACCAATTATATTATAACGACTCCTAAACCAATTTTTTTTATAGCACATCCAACTGGTAAAATATGTTAAACTGGAGAAGCTATTGTTAAAAATTTAGAAAAAGCAATAATTGAAATTAGTTTAACCAAAATTTCTGCTATAGTAATAGATAATGCTTTCAATATGAAAAAAGCATGGTATATACTAGAATTAAAATATCCTAATATTATATTTTTGGGTTGCATAGCTCATAGTTTAAACCTTTTAATTGGCAGTATTATAAAGATATCATGGAATGCTAATATTTTAAAAAATGCCTATACAATTGTTTCATATTTTCGCTCATATCAGATTCCAGTAGCAATTTTAAAACATCACTAATTAGTAGCATATCAATGGTGAATTTCATTAAAATATCCTGTTAAAACAAGATGGGATCTGTAGCAACATGTCTAAATTCTGTTTTACAGAATAAGCTTGCTCTTAAATTAGCTATTACAGAAATAGCATATAATAATAATAAGGAATTACTAAAATCAATTTACAAGACTATTAAAGATGATAGTTTTTGAAAAGATGCTGAAAAGCTTCTTGTAACATTGGATAGATTTATTGCTGGTATATTGTTATTCGAGTCTGATGTACTACAACTGGCACAATTTTATTTCTGGTATTATGAGCAACTAGAATACTATAGTAAGTAATATTATAAATCAATAATTTTAACTATCTACTATATTAATATAAAATATTTTTAGTAGCAAATTATGAAATTAAAAACATTTTATAAGATCAGTAAAAAAAAATGTATCACCCGGTTATGTCAGTAGCATATTTTTTGGATCCTCGATATTGTGGACAATAACTTCTAACAAATAGCATATCAGTAATATCACAGTTCATTCAACGGTATTATCCAAATAATGCAAACATAATTTGGCAGCAAATAACTAAATATAAAACCAAAACTAGTGTGTTTGATCTTTGGTTGGCATGGAAAACTGTTAGCAAAGTTGATTCGATTGCATGGTAGAAATTAAATTTTGAAAATTCAGCACCTGAATTATATAAAATTGCAATTAGGATTCTTAAAATTCCCTCTTTATCAGCAGCCTCAAAGCGTAATTGGTCTGCTTTCTCTCGAATCTATAATGATAGAAGATTACAATTAACTAATAAGTGAGTATTAAAGTTGGTTTATATTTATAGTAATTATAAACTTAACTGCCTACGACAAGAATTTCCTGATATGATAAATGCTGAAGCATGATTTAATAGTAGGTTGGCACAACAAAACTTAAATCAAAATAATGATATTTTATTGGATTTAATAGATAATGATTTAGGTGAAGATAATGAAGAAACATTAATGAATAATAATGAAGGGATTGATAGTGAAGAAGTCGACAGTAATAAAATTAGTGATGAAGAAATAGATGCGAAGAGTCATATAGTGAATAGAAAATAAATAAATATAAATTATGCATTTAATACTTTTTTTTATATAACAATAAAGAAATATATACTGCTTATAATGATAATAATAATTGTTACGTCACTTAACCATGCATACTATATATGCGTGAAAATCATGTGCATCATGTAGTATAGTAGGGTATGACATACACATAGTGCTCATCTCTACACCTATCTGAAGTTGCAACTTCAGGCACCTGAAGTTGAACTGCCTGAAATCAGATTTTCAGGCTGTATGAAGTAACAACTTTAGGCAATATGCAACTTCAGGCACAGTATTGTACCTAAAATGTGCCTTATGAATAAAGTTGCCAACTGTCTGAAGTTGCTAGTTCAGGCACCTAAAGTTAAACTATTACAAATTGTATTATAAAGTAGTAGTTAATTAATACTGGTGATATAGGCTAACCTCAACTAGTGATGGCTTCAGTTAGATCATGACTAGTTATTATCGGTCAATGACTATAACTGATATTAACCAGTCAGAGAAGTTTAACTGAACGATCAAAATTATGACTAATGCTATCATCAAATAAATAGAGAAACCCATTGTTCATAACTCTAGTCAAATTTGCAGATCATTTGGCCAGAACTAGAATAAACCAATTTTAAATCTAGTTAAATAATCTAATAAAACCACAGTGTAACTAATTTAAAAAATTTCACAGATTTTAATTTTTTTTTTAATAAAAAAATTTTATTTATAAAATTTTCTAACATCAGAATAAAAAATTTTCGCTGATTTTGATCAGATGATTGTCAAGATATCTTTGCTCAAAATTAGTAAATAATTCAAAAAAGGCTTTAAAAAGTAGTTGCGCCAATTGTTTTTCTGAAACTTTAAGTGAAGATATCTCGACAACTATCAGATTAAATTTGATGAAATTTTTTTGTTTGGATTCTAGGGATCTGTAGAATTTAAAAATTTTTTTATCAAATTTGGTCAGGTGGTTGTCGAGATATCTTCACTCAAAATTAGTAAATAATTTAAAATGTCTATTATGCACTAAATTTTTTTTAAACTTTGAGTGAAGATATCTCAACAACCACTTGATCAAATTCTAGAAAATTTTTTTGTTTGAATTCTACGATCTATAGAATTCAAACAAAAAAATATTTATCATATTTTTGAGTGTATAGTTTCTGCTGTAATTGCTGAATGCTGTAATGCCATATATATATATAGAAAAGTACCTAAATGCCATAAATGCTGTAAACTATAATGCCACAATGCCATAATAACATAATGCCATAATACCCATAATACTTATAATACTATAATTCTGCAACTGTAGCTAAAACTAAAATATTTCTATCTTTACATTACAACAAATTTATAAACTTAAGCCAAAATTTGGTCATCAGATCCAAGTATTTAATTATTGAATTTAAATTTTTATTTGTTAATAAATTAATCTAAATCCTGAAAAAAAATTGGTTTGTTGTAATAAACTAAATTTTAATATTGTTTGTATTCAGATAATTTGTTTATCGAATAATAATTATCTGTTAAATAAATATATTATCTAATATCTATATCTGTTCACAATTTTATTATTCAGATAATTCAACCTCTAAAACTGATATATTAAACAATAAATGTTAAAAACCTTGTACGGTATTCTAATACTATAAAAATCTATTTGTTTATAATGATTGGGTTAAAAATACTGTTCAAGATTAAAATAAGTGATAACGACATATATGTAGGATTTGATTATTGATTATAAATCGATTATTAGCAATTTGATTACTGATTAAAGTTTTTAGAATTGATTACCATCACTAATTACAGCATTATGGCTAGAGATGTTACCCAAACTATTTCAGAATTGTTTTGACACTTACAGCAATTTTCAGTCAGAATTTAGGTTTTTGTCAAAATCCAAATACAATCCCAAATCTCAAATACTGTCCCAAATCCCAAATGCCCAAATTCTAATGATAAAATTTTTGCTTTTAATTAATAAAATGATTATTTTAATAAATAATAAGGCTTCAAAAATATAATAACGCTTCTAATTAATATAATGATATTTTTAATAAATTCAGTATCACTTTTTAATTAATATAATGATTCTTTTATATATGATAAGATTTGGATTTCTATAATTCGCGAATGTATTATTGTTATAGTTTGGGATTTTATTTTAACCAAGTTCTAAACTAGTTTTAACTATTTGGGTTTGACCACATGTCGAAACTATTAGGTTTGGGTGATATCTCAAATTATGGCATTGTGGTATTATGGCATTACATTTTATAGCATTTATAGCAAAATTGCTGTTTAGTGCTGTAATTGTATTTTTTCCAAAAATCAATCATAGTAGCAACATTAATTGAGTGGTTCTTGAAATATCTTCACTCAAAGTTTAAAAAAATTTAGTGCACCTTCTATATTGATAGATGTTTTAAATTGTTTACTAATTTTAAGTGAAGATATCTCGATAGGATATGTCTTATTTCACAGACACTCATTTCATAAACACAACATTTCACTGACAACCAATTCACTAACATGTTTGTTTCACTGACAACTAATTCCTAGACAAGCTCATTTAGTAGACAACTCATTTCATATATAGCTCATCTCACTAACAAGTTAATTTCTTATAATTTCTCTAACTCTAAACCTAACTCTAACCCTAATTCTAATAGTAATAATGTCAGTGAAATGAGCTATTAGTGAAATAAGTTGTTTACAAATCAAAAAATATATATTAGTTATTCTGTTTAAATATCAACTTCAAAACTGATTTAATTCCATATATAGAATTAAATTAGTTTTGGAGTTAAATTAACTATCATTATATAATTTAATTTAAATCAGTTTATATTTTCTATATTTAGTTATTAGAACTTTTACATAATATTCTCAATCAGGCTATAGAACTCTAATATAAATATTTATGCTAGATAGTTGAAATATTAAGAGTTGATCAGCCAGATGATATTTCTAATTGGACTGTAGCTAAGCTGAATAAATTGAGGAGGCTAAAGTGATCACAGAAGATAAAGTAATTATAAAAGATAAAGTAATCAAAGAAGATGAAGTAGTCGAGAAAGATGAAGTAATAAGTAGGAGTAAAGAACTTGAGAAGACTGACAAAAGTAATAGTAATAATAATGATGAAGATAAAAAGAATAATGAGAGAAGTAATAATGAAAGCTGTAAATAACCAGCTTTCTCTTTTAAGAAAGCTTGACAGAAAAAGAAAAGAGCATAAATTTTTTTGTATTATTAAATTTAATATATATTTTTATTTAATTAAATTAATTATTATAAGGTCTGGTAATCTTAGTATAGTGGTTAGGTTGCTAGACTACCATGCAAGAGGTCTGAAGTTCAGATCCCACTGTCGATAAATTTGAATAATTACTCAGACTATTGTACTCAACTTACAGTAAACCCTATTCATTTCTGGAGTTGTAATTCTGTAAATCACATTGCATCAATATTATCCAGATATTGGAAGTATGATGAGGTGTTTGGTGAGATATAATATTACATGAATAAAGAAAATTCAATTTAACAAAACTTGTAATGTCTAATCATAATAGTCATATTATGTTGGAGATTATGATCATTAGAAATGCTCAGATTCTCTTTGCATATTTTTATCATCATCAATCTGTATTTTAATGGCTTAAATCTTATTTTTACAAATTTACTGTAAATATTTTTATATCTTTTTTTAAAAAAAAAATTATCATAAGCTTGAAATTATAAATATTGCAAATCTCTTATAGTACTATCAAGCTTGATAGTTTTAATAAAAGACAAGTCTTAAATTTGAAATAGTAAAAGGTGATATATCATATAGAAT